AACTCTGAGAAATGCATAGTACCGCTTATTATTAAAGATGCAAATATCACAAATAGCTGGTAAAATGAACTTCAGAAAGGTATGGTTATAACCTGAAGAAAAAGTGTCAGTAATTGTTTACCTCAGTTTTCGGCAAAGTGGGTTCAATCTTATCTTGTTCTATTGTCAAAGAGGAACGTTTTTGGATGCATGGAATTTTACTTGTTTCTCGTCCCCCTTTCTTTATATTTTGATTGACACTATCCACTTCCTCTTCTCCATCATCCATGTATCTTTTGACCTGTTTTTCTTCGTCAGCTGTGGTAACGCTGGCTTTGGCGATGCCTGATTCCCTTAACTGTTTGGTTTCAGATATTTCCATCAGGCTTTTGGTGTTTTTTGCCTTAAGCAATGATTGATAATGGCATATTAGTGATCAAATATACAAAAAGCTCTTTTTAATAGCAAGGTTTCTAATGAACAAAATTCATAACGACTTTATAAATGATTTTTAGCCCATTACTGATCAAGTTTGCAACATGTTTAAAAAGATGAAAAGCTTCAAGTAAATTATATTATAACATGTGTCTTCAGCAGTTGATTTCATGAGAAACATTAAGAATGTTAATTTCATCGGTATATGTATTCTAACCCATGAAATCCAATCCATCCCTTATTACAGGGTATGCAACTATATCAAAAGCTGTTAAAAATAAAAGATGTGTAACATTTCCTGAATGATGTACCTCAGTTTCCGGCAATGTGGGTTTGATCCTGAATTGTTCAGAGGCCATAGATGTACTTTTTTGGATGCAGGGTACTTGGTCCATATCATCTTTTTTCACATTTTGATTGACGTAGTCCTCAGCATTGTATTCAGGTTTAGTCACCACAGTTGAAAGTGTCAGATGGAAGGACTCCCGTTGCAAGGCGTTGGCCACATCTTTAACTTTAGGTGCCGGTCTTTCAAAAGGGGGTCTCTGCGAATTTTGTGTCATAAATTTGTAACTGGGCAGGGATGTTCTCATCAATACAATTGGTTTCTTTCCATTGACGCGCTTTTTCTTTGATATGGTGTTTTTTGTAACGCTGCTAATCTCATTCCCTTTTGATTGTTTGGTGGGATAATGTATGACCAAAGGAGGTAAGTCACTTTCTGTTAGAGTTTCTTGGGTAACATCTGCCGAGGCTGCTGTCTCTAACTCAGTGTCCTCTTGCACTTTTGATAAGCTGTCTGTGGTCACTACATGTTTTTCTGGTGGCAGATTGGGGGAGTTTGATTTCTCCACCTGTAATAGGAATGACAGGAGATAAAACAGACATATTTCGAACATCAACAGTTAGTGATCATTAATGATCAAGTGATGACAGGTCCTAAAAATGATGAAATGGTATAAATGAACCAATTAACATTACAAGGTCTTCGTCATAATTTTCTTTAGCAAAAAAATTGAGAAAAATTACTTTCATAATAGATGTTATTTATTAGCTATGAAAGGTATTTTACCACTAATAACAGAAATGTGTCATAAATTTACCACAGTTTCCAGCAAAGTGGGTTCAATCTTAACTTGATCTGCTGCCACACCTTTGTCATCTGTGTTTCTTATGATTTGTTTTTTGTCATCAACAGTAACAATGCTGGCTTTGACGACACCTTGTTCACTTAACTGTTTGGTTTCAGGTATTTCCATCAGACTTTTAGTGATCTTTGCCTTAATAATTAATGATAACTTATTAATGATCAAGCGTACAACAACTTCTTTATATAGGTGAAAAAATTTAATAAACAAAATTGAATCATCCCAGCAGACAAACGACATTGATTCACCGTTGAATCAACGTTAATTTTGGTGGATCAACGTTGAATCAACGTAGAATCAATGTCGTTTGCCTGCTGGGATAATGCTTTAATAATTTATGGCTTAAAGGGATAATAACTCTCCGTATGAGATCTATATTTCACAATAAAAACATTGTGAGTAACTCATAGAAATATCATATATTCTGTTTTACCACAAAAACAGCAGTTATAGCTATTATTCTGATATCTGAGCTTGTCTTTAGACCACGTGACCTCCATTGATGGATATACTCTGTTAAATGTATTATAAGGCTTCGTTCACATGCAATGTCTATTTTCTAAATTCTATTTTCTATTTGCGGCATGTCTTATGATCACGGTCTGTGCCCTGGATATCCCGCCGCGTAATTACTGGCAGCGCGAGCCAGTTACTATAAGTTACTATAAGTAACTGGCACGCGCTGCCAGTAATTACGCGGCGGGATATTCAGGGCACAGACCGTGATCATAAGATAGCGCAAATAGAAAATAGAATTTAGAAAATAGACATTGCATGTGAACGAAGCCTAACTCATGAAATCTAATGCATCGCTTATAACAGAGCAGGCAAAGCTGCTAACAGTAGAAGATGGGTGTCATTTCTTAAATTGCTTACCTCAGTTTCTGGCAAAGCAGGTTTAATCTTTATTTGTTCAGAGGCCATAGAGGCACTATTTAGATCTTCACACACAGGGCTCAGATCCTCTTTCTTCACATTCTGATTGATGAGGTCTTTGGCATTGTATTCGGGTTTGCTCACCACTGTTGGTAGTGTCGGACTAAAGGACCTCTGTTGCTCGGTGTCGGCCACAGCTGTTACTTTCGGTGCTGGTATTTCAGCAAGTGATGCCTCCGAGTTTTGTGTCATGAACTTGTATTTGGGCAGAGATGTTCTCATCAAAATGGTTGGTTTCTTTCCATTTCCATGCTTCTTCTTCTTCGATTTGGGGACTTTTGATACACCGTCAGTCTCTTTTGTTGGATCATATTTGGACAACTGAAAAAAGCCATTTTCCATTATAGCTTCTTGGGATACAAGAGAAAGGTTAAACAGGTCATTGTCCTTCTCATCTGCCGAGGCAGCTGCCTTGAAATTCTTGTCCTTTTGCATGTTTAAGAAGCTGACTTTGGTCACGGCATGTTTTTTTGATTGTAGATTGAGGGACTTCTTTTTCTCCATCTGTAATAAGAATATCAGTAGATTAACTTTACATATTTCAAACGTTAGTTAGTTAGTTATTCTCTAAAACCGAGAGGAAAATTAAGTCCAAATGTCACCGACTCCTGTTATGTCTCTTACCCTTACGTCGCCCATTCCATCCAATTCA